ACTTTGTGCAATTTCTTAGCTCCCAGGCTGGGAACTTAGAGTAATATACGTAACTCACATCTGAGTTTATTTATTACAACCAGCAAACGTTAGGCTTTTGGCTTTAACCCTTGTTAATATTCTGGGAGCTAACTGTGCAGACCACCTCACCCTTCTAGGTTAATGAAGTGCCTAACAGGCCACTGTAAGAAAATGGCTGCCTGATTGAATTATGATAAACAAGCAACAACCAACCCCCAACAAAGCAAGTGAGAAAGGTCAGGAGTTCCAGCAGCTTTAATTGTCTTCCTGAGAGTTTACAGCAGCATTACCCTTCTGGTGTTTCCTGGTGATGGATTGCAAGAAGAATCAGAGAAGGCACAACATGAATTTGCTCCCGGGACAATGATTGTAATCAAAATGGGAAGTGGTACCAATGTAAGCTGTTCTCCTTGCCGTTTAAAGATTATAAATCCGTTATTCATCTGTTATGATCCAGGGGCCTACTCGTGATTTTTTATGGTTCTTCACATGCTTAGAATTTTAAGAGCTGTAATGTTGAAGGGGATACAGCTGTTCTTTTGATTTTCATGTTAAAATCCCTGCTCGGAGCATTACACCCTGGGGTCTGCCTCAGCCCAACTGTAGTCTGAGCCGGCTGCCAAAGCCTCTGATATGATGAACTTGACCATCTTGGTCTGTTCTCCTCTAGTTATTAAAACACAGTACCTGGGGCTGGGGTTTGCCTCAGAGCATTTAGCTCAAATTCTTGGAGCCCTAGATTCCATTCTTAGTACTGGTCCTTCATACTGTATCAACCTAGCCTGGTGGCTCATACCTATAGTTCTAGCATTTGAGCACTGAAGGAGTAAGGGCCAGAAGTTCAAGAGCATTCTTGACTACCATTGAGTTCAAGGCCTTGCTGGGCTGTGTAAGACTGTCTCAAAAAGCGAATACTCCATCTAGGGCAGAAGGAAAAGGGCACAAGCCATTGCCAAGGGTTTTAAAATAATACAAGTTTCCCATTGATCACTATTCAGCTTGAAGAGGAAGTGGGCACTGTGTGTTTGTGGACAGAATATCTGGATTTTTACCTTTAGTGTGCCTCTTTCTAGAACTATGACCTTCCTTCCATGAGCTTTTATTTTCTTAGTAGTTAAATAGTGGCCATTCTTTTGTATTGTCTGCACAGGGCAGTGTCACATAGGTTTTCAAATGATAGAATTGAATTTGACAGCTAGATGAAAAATCTGGCATGACAAGGTAGTAATAGTGACTTGTGGTCATGGTGATTTTCTTTTTTTCCCTGCTTCATGTGTGTGTGATGTGCATATATGCATATTTACGTGTGTTTGGGTAAATGTGTGCTGTGTGACACTGTTGCTGGGGAGGTGTGCACAGCCATCTATGCTTCCCAGATAGGGAAACATGACAGATCAAAGTAGGTACTACCAAAATGCTGATGACATGATGAACCAGTGAGTTTTACTGAGGTTGTTTTCAGGACTGTGGGTGAGGGGTTACTGACCGAAGCAGAAATGATGCAAAGACAGCTGCATCACTAAAGCCCAATCCCGTATGTGGTACAGCTCAGGAAGCTATACGCTTGGATCACAGGGCACAGCCTGTAGGTAGCTCAACAGGGTGGAGGGTGTCCTTTCCAGGTAGATCGTTTGGCATGAGCCTTTTCTAGGCGTTTCATGTTGTCTGCTTGGCTGGTCTGAGGGTCTTTAGGTGGCTTAGCTTGTCTGAGAGTGACTCTCAACAATCTTTACTGAAGGGACACTAGGTAGCTTGAACATGGCAAACATGGTTCTGGCAGGCCTTGCCCTTTCCCATTCCCTCCTCCTTGCTAAAAACACTTAGATTACCTTCCTAAAGCTGGCCACCAAGGTCTATTCCCTTATTTGGCTACTTTCTACCCCTGAGGCTGACTACCAAGGTCCAGCTATCAAAGCATTGAAGTCCAGATAACTGTGATTTGGCTTCCCTAATTAACCTGTCCATTCAAAGTTAAACACTTCATTCTAACATGGGGTTTCATCTTTTACCTTTGTAAGCTGCCATTTGCCTATGGGCCATGTCTGTTTCCTCTCTATCCAGAGGCAGTCTGTTGTCCCCCTGGGACCAATATCCCTTCCCTGTCTTCCTTGTCCTCTTCCCCTTCTCTCTCAACCTTTATTCCCAGTCTTTGTCTCATATTCCCTGCCCTTTTTCCCTCTGGGGCAAATAAACCTGCTTTGTGCTGAGAACCTGATCTGGGGTTCTCGTGTTGAATGCCAGTCCTTTTATGTACTGTTTATGGACTCTTTGAGAGGGAGGGACCTAGTGAATATGATCAGTTTCAGGAACTTCCTGAAGCTATTTTGAGTTGTGCACTTTCTGTCTTAATGAGCTGTCTCACAGGACACAATATTATCAGGGTCTATTGTTTCACGTCCCTTTCACAGCTCTTTCTTAAGAAGTCTCCCTTCAAGATGGAAGGTTTTAATCTCAGAGGAAGATGCCATACAAAAACATGTATGGAGATGTGAGTGTTCATGTGTTCCCATGCTTATGGAAGCCAGAAGTTGATGTCAGGGGTCTTTCTTGATTGCTCTTTATCTTATTCACCAAGGCAGGGTCCTTGAACTGAACCTAGACATTTCTGAAATGGCTGGCCTTACTAGCCAGCTTGATTCAGGTGTCTCTGTTTTATAATCACTAGAACTATAGGTGGGCTCACCCAGTATTTATATGGTTTTGGAGCATCTGAACTCCCATTTTCATGCTTGAATGCCAAGAGCTTTGTCCCCTTAGTGATCTCTATCTCCTCAGCTTTTATGGATTCCCTCCCTCCCTCCCTCCCTTCGTCCCTCCCTCCTTCCCTCCCTCTCTACCTCTTTTCTTCCATTTTATATATCAATTTATATTTATTTTATTTGTGTGTGTGTGTGTGTGTGTGTGTGTAGGCACACCCATGTTACAACATTCAGGTGGAGGTCAGAGGGCAATTGTTGGGACTCATTCCCTCCTGCTACTTTGTGGCATCTGCGGGTGGACCTCAGGTTATACTGGGCCAGTTCATGGTGACAGCTTCTGTTTGTGAAACACTCTTAACAGTGACTCTTAACCTAATGGTTCTTTGAGAGGCCCAGTTCCTCTAGCACACTTGGATATATATTACCAGGGTTACTTACAAGTGTATGGGTGACACTATATGGTCTTGAGTGTAAGGGAAGTTATTTTGTAGTTTGTATCTTGGCGATCTGTGCTCCAGAGTGCTCACTGTACTCTGGAATCTTCTCTGCTATGTGTTGTGTTCTCAAATGTGCTTTTCTGCTCTTTCCTCTTCCTTCTCTCCCCCTTTCCTTCTCTCCTCCATTTTCACATTGAAATTTATAGTAATGATCAAAATAAATATTTGTGTCCCTAAATATTTACAATGGAGCTTATTATCTCCCCATTTCTATAATTCAAATTGTTTGTTTCCACCACTGTAGCCATATTTAGGAAGTAATGTCTGAACTTGACTGCCCACATACACATTTTTCAAAGTCCCTCCCTTCTCTTTTTCTTGAGAAACTCATTTTCTTTAGGAGGGACTAACTGTCAAGTGTCTTTGTAGTTCTCAGGTGATGTCACTCTCTCCAAGGACCTAATACTCTTAATCATTGTGTCCGATTATGTGTACTCACAATTTTGTAACTATTTCAGTTTTGCATTTTCTAATTTATAATGTCTATACATTATCATTCTGTTTTTATGTAATACCATTTTAGTAGCAATGCTTGTTGTGTGGAAGGAAGATGACTGACACAAACTTGGATGGTTTTTAGGAATCTCTTATACCCCTTTTATTGCGTTTTGATATGGCTGAATTTATTAGTAAAGGGAGGAGAGTTGGAATTGTAGCATGTTGTAACTTCTACCATTATTCGATAAAAATGTATTTTGACTAAAAATTTTAGAGAAATTTTCCGATTTTCTTTTTCTAAAAAAAAATATATATTTTTAACAAATAGAATAATCTTGGGCTCAGTTCAGAATTGGGATTTTATGGTCATTCTTTCAACCCATTCACACTTGTGACAGTGCCACATGAATAATATGGTCTGGCATTATGATTTGTGCCTTGCCAACGGAATGAGTGACCTACAGAGGAGCAATGTGCCTGCAGCTTCATTTCTGGACAGTGTCAAACATCTACTTTTTCCTCCCTTCCCTTTCTCCCCAGTTTTTTTCTTGTCTATAAATAATTTTGGAAAGCTCATTTTATTGTAGAAAATGTGGAGAGCCCTTGAGGATTTAAAAGAAAAATTTCTTTGCTCTTTGAAATTCTATATCATAGCTGAGAAAAATATCTAGGGCTCTAGTGTAGCTGTGTGTGAAGCTCGTGCCTAGCATGCATGTGACCCTGGGTTCAACCTGTGGTTCCATAAACAGCTTCCCTAGATTCTGGGCATACAACTCATTCTTGTAGATCATAGAACTATGCTATTTGTTCAGAGGGAGAAAAGCCTGGGTGTGGGGGAGATGAGAAATGAGTAGATTAAGGTTTGAAAGCATAAGTGACATTTTGGGCTGGGGTATTAAAGAGTAGAGGACGTATAGCATCCTGAAGAGATGGTCAAATGTGGTATCCAGCATCACTGAAATGTAGGCTGCTTGGAGCAGAGCTTCTCAAGTGATGGGGCAGGAAGTTAGGGAGGGTTGGGACGTGTCTTCCTGGAGTACTAGCCTTTACTGCAGAAAGAGAGCACCGCCATTGTGAAAGCAGTATGCTGACCAGTTAGGAAAGATTCCTCTTGGCCCAGAGGGGAGGGAGCAAGGATAGAAGTGAAGAAAGAGTGGGAGAAGGAACTTGTTAGAACAGGTGATTGCGATTCCAGCTGCACACGTGAAACTTGAGCCTCTGGTGGATGCTCTTAGGAGCTGGGCATTTGGAGGCAATTAGGTCCTGAGGTGGAGTCTTAATGATGGGGTTAGTATCCTTCAAGGAAGACCCACAGCGAGCTTGCTTCCTGCTCCTGTTCTCCAGGTGAGGACAGAAAAGAAAGCTTCCATCTGAAGCCAGGAACTCCGCTCTTACAAGGCTCTGGATCTGCCTGCACCTTTGTTGTGGACTGTCTACCCTTTAGAACTGTAAGAAACACATCTGTTTCGCATAGTAGCTCAGTGGAAACAGAACATTGAGAATAACAGAAACTCATAGATGATGTAGAAAGCCCGAACTAAGGTAATGGTAGTGAGTATTCAAGGAATAGAGTGGGAACACTTGAGATAAAAAAGGTTATTTCTTTGAAATATATAAGGAAGAAGTCGTTTCTTTTTAAAAAGTTCTCCTTAGAATTCTTGTAAAACACAAACATATTTAATTTAAATTTATTTCTTAATTTTTACTTTTCTGTTTTTGAGATAGGGTTTTTTTCTTAATGAAATTTGAAATATTTTATTTCATCTTTCTGATTCTAATCAAAATGATCTTGGTGAAGAGAAACAAGCATTTATTTATTTTTTAGCTGATTGCCAGTGACCCCATTTGGTCTATTTTCAAGAAATAATGATTGTGTACAGTGTTCAAAAAACTTGGAAGAACAGGGATTTGATCAGTGTGGCTCTTAGACAGCAGGCTCATAGAAGTGGATTAAGCACATTGCCATTCTCTTGGTAGCTGTGGTCCCCAGGACCAGAAACACTGGGGAAAGAGAGGTTGATGGAACTGGATTTACCCAGCATGCTTTCTGAGGGTATTTGCCCCATTGCTTCCCGGGAGATAAGAGAACAGGCACACTTTCTTCCTCCCTCCTTTTCTTCTTGTTTGGGTTTTCTTGTCTAGAACTAAGTTACAATAGTTCATTCCTTTACCCTGTTATTTCCTAAATTCATCTCTAAGACATTCCTGCTCTTTTGTATTCTACCTATTTTAATATCAATGGGGAAATATTGTTTCAGACACCTATGGTGAGATTTGCTCCAACTTTAATTAGGTGCAACTAACTAAAGAAAATTGTATTCATGGAATGTAGCAAAATGTTTTAGTAAGTATACATATATACTGAGATGATTGAAGCAATCAAGGTAATTCACATAATCAACAACTTACATGACTTTTTCTCTTATTGTGGTGACAGTGTAGACATACAATACAACACTATTAACTGTGTTGCATATTAGGTTTCTAGGGCAATCCCCACCCAATGAAGCTTTATATCTTATGACCACCATGGCCACACTTTTCCATCTCCTAGATATTGGTAACCACAATTCTAACTTGTTTCTAGGGGCATGATGTTTTTAGAATAGGTTACACATAGAAGAGAGATCACAAAGCTCACACCTTTTTGCATCTGGTTTAGTTTCCATGTAGGGTGCCCTCAATGTTTATCCATTCTATAGCAATGCAAAGATTTCCTTGTCTGTAGAGGCCCTTTTTGCCCTATTTTTTTTAAAATTTAAATTAGAAACAAGCTTGTTTTACATGTCAATCCCAGTTCTCTCTCCCTCCCCTCCTCTCCTGCCCCCACTAGCCACCTATCCCATCTGCTTTCTGCTCCCCAGGGAGAGTGAGGCCTTCCATGGGGTATCTTCAAGGCCTGTCATATCATTTGGAGAAGGGCCTAGGCCCTCCCCCATGTGTCTAGGCTAAGAGAGAGCGTTCTCTATGTGGAATGGGCTCTCAAAGTCCATTCTTATGCTAGGCATAAATACTGATTTACTACCAGAGGCCCCATAGATTGCTGAGGCCTCCTCACTGACACCCACATTCAGGTAGTCTGGATCAGTCCTATGCTGGTCTCCCAGCTATCTGTCTGGGGTCCATGAGCTCCCCCTTGTTCAGGTCAGCTGTTTCTATGGGTTTCACCAGCATGGTCTTGACTCCTTTGCTCATCACTCCTCCCTCTCTGCAACTGGATTCCAGGTGCTCAGTTCAGTGTTTAGCTGTGGGCGTCTGCCTCTGCTTCCATCAGCCACTGGATGAAGGTACTAGGATGGCATATAAGGTAGTCATAAATCTCAGGGAAGGGCATTTAAGGTAGCCTTCCCACTATTGCTTAGATTGTTAGTTGGGGTCATCCTTGTAGATCTCTGGACATTTCCCTAGTGACAGATTTCTCTTTAAACCTATAATGGCTCTCTCTATTATGATACCTCTTATTTTGATCTCCTGTATTCTTATCCTGAATCAACTTTCCTGCTCCCTCATGTTCTCCTCTCTCCTCTTCTTCTCCCCTTCTCTTTCTCCTAGCTCCCTCTCCCCTCCCCCATGCTCTCAATGCTCAGGAGATCTTGTGCCTTTCCCCTTCTCCAGGGGACCATGTATGTCTCTCTTAGGGTCCTCCTTGTTTCCTACCTTCTCTGGTGGTGTGGATTGTAGACTGGTAATCCTTTGCTCTATGTCTAAAATCCATATATGAATGAGTACATACCATGTTTTTCTTTTTGTGACTGGATAACCTAGCTAAGATAGTTTCTTCTAGTTCCATCCATTTGCTTGTGAATTTCAAGAATCCATTGTTTTTTCTGTTGAGTAGTACTCCATGTGTAAATGTATGACATTTTCCCTATCCATTCTTCAGTTGAGGGGCATCTAGGTTGCTTTCAGATTCTGGCTATTAGAAATACTGCTGCTCTGAACATGGTTGAACATATGTCCTTGTTGTATGAATGTGCATCTTTTGGGAATTGTGGAATTTTTGGATCTTGTGGTAGACTGATTCCCATTTTCTTGAGGAATCTTCATACTGATTTCCAAAGTGGCTGTACAAGTTTGCACTCCCACTAGCAGTGGAGGAGTGTTTCCTTCTCTCCACATCCTCTCCAGCATAAACTGATGTTGGTGTTTTTGATTTTAGCCATTCTGACAGGAGCAAGATGGCATCTCAGAGTTCCTTTGATTTTCATTTCCCTGATGACTAAGGTTGTTGAGCACCTTCTTAAGTGTCTTCCAGCCATTTTAGATCCCTCTATTGAGAATATCTATTTAGTTCTGTCCCCCACTTTTTAATTGGATTATTTGGGCTTTTGGTGACTAGCTTCTTGAGTTCTTTGTATATTTTGGAGATCAGCCCTCTGTCAGATGTGGGGTTGGTGAATATCTTTCCCCATTCTGTGGGCTGCCATTTTGTCTTGTTGACTGTGTCCTTTGCCTTACAGAAGCTTCTAAGTCTTAGGAGGTCCCATTTATTAATTGTTGATCTCAGTGTCTGTGCTATTGGGGTTATGTTCAGGAATTTGTCTCTTGTACCAATTTGTTCAAGGGTACTTCCCACTTTCTCTTCTAAGAGGTTCAGTGTGTCTAGATTTATATTGAGGTCTTTGATCCATTTGGGCTTAAGTTTTGTGCATGGCTATAGACATGGATCTGTCTGCAGTCTTCTATATGCCAGCATCCAGTTATGCCAGCATCATTTGTTGAAGATGCTTTCTTTTTTCCATTGTATAGTTTTAGCTTTTTGTCAATAATCAGGTATTTGTAGGTATGTGGGTTAATATTAGGGTTTTCAATTCGATTCCATTGGTCTACCTATCTATTTTTGTGCCAATACTAAGCTTTTTTCAGGACTATGGCTCTATAATAGAGCTTGAAGTCAGGGATGGTGATGCTTCTGGAGGTTCCTTTATTGAGTAGGGTTGTTTTTAGCTATCCTGGGTCATTTGTTTTTCCATATAAAGTTGAGAATTATTTTTTCAAGCTCTGTGAAGAATTGTGCTGGTATTTTGATGGGGATTGCATTGAATCTGTAGATTGCTTTTGGCAGGATTGCCATTTTTACTATTTTGATCCTACTTATCCAAGAGCATGGGAGATCTTTCCATTTTCTCGTGTCTTCTTTAATTTCTTTCTTTAAAGACTCAAAGTTCTTGCTATACAGGCCTTTCACTTGTTTGGTTAGTGTTACCCCAAGATATTTTTTGTGGCAATTGTAAAGGGTGATGCTTCTCTTATTTCTTTCTCAGCCCTTTTTTCGTCTGTATAATGTAGTGTTACTGATTTTTTTTGAGTTAACCTTGTATCCTGCCACTTTGCTGAAGGTGTTTATCAGCTGTAGGAGTTCCTGTGTAGTTTTTTGGGTCACTTATGTAAACTATCATATCATCTGCAAATAGTGAAAGTTTGACTTCTTCCATGCCAATTCTTATCCCCTTGGTCTCCTTTTTTGTCTTATTGCTTTAGGTAGAACTTCAAGTGCAATATTGACTAGACATGGAGAGAGTGAACAACTTTGTCTTGTTCCTGATTTTAGAGGAATTGCCTTGAATTTCTCTCCATTAGTTTGATGTTGGCCGTTCATTTACTGTATATTGCTTTTTATTATGCTTAGTTATGTTCCTGTTATCCCTGATCTCTTCAGGACCTTTATCATGAAGGGGTATTGGATTTTCTCAAAGACTTTTTCAGCATCTAGTGAGATGATCGTGTGGTTTTTCTTTTGCAGTTTGTTTATATGGTTGATTACATTGATAGGTTTTCATATGTTGAACCATCCTTGCATCCCTGGGATGAAGCCTTTTTGATCATGGTGGATGATCTCTCTGATGTGTTCTTGGATTTGATTTGCTAGTATTTTCTTGAGTATTTTTTGCGTCAATGCTTATGAGGGATATTGGTGTATAGTTCTGTGTCTTAGCTGTGTCTTTGTGTGGCTTGGGTAATTGCAACCTTGACATGACTCTTCTGTTTCTATTGTGTGACACGGTTTGAGCAGTACTGGTATTAGCTCTTCTTTGCATTTCTGGTAGAATTCTACACTGAAACCATCTGGTCATGGACTGTTTCTGGCTGGGAGACTTTTGATGAGTGCTTCTATTTCTTTAGGGTTATTCCAATTTTTTTTAATCTGTTGAGGTTTGCTATGTTGCCGAGTATGTGATCAATTTTAGAGACAGATTTATGTTGCGCTGAGAAGAATGTATATTCTTTTGTGTTTGGATGGAATGTTCTATAGACCCCTGTTAAACCCAATTGGGTCATAACTTCTGTTAGTTCATTTGTTTCTTTGTTAACTTTCTGTCTGGTGGTCCTATCTAGTGGTGAGAGTGGGGTGTTAAAGTCTCCCACTAAAACTGTGTGAGGTCTTATGTATGATTTGAGCTTTAGTAATGTTTCTTTTATGAATGTGGGTGCCTTTGTATTTGGGGCA